TTCCTGAAAAATATGTAAATGTAAAAATGCTTTAAAAAGTCTCGTACGTTTGAAATAAAATGATAGTAGAAATGTTAAAAACACTAAAAACCGCTCTTTTCATCAATGTAGTTATCATCTAAATCAACTGGTAACATGTAAATGCTGAAAATGAAATTCTGAAATATTGGAACTTTTATTGACCTATTAGCCGTGGAAAGGGGTGCATCAATGTAATGAGATGACTGATTTTGTTGGAGCCAAATGTTGAATACTCAAGAAAAATATTATTTTATTAACAAAATAAACACTACAATTTAATTACACACCAAATATGATTTCCACTGCTTCTCTCTCCTGCTCACTGCCACTCCATATCTATTACTTAATTCTTACTCATACTCTAGCATTTCTATCAATACTGAAAAATACAAGTGCTGATCCATATTTATAGGAATGTATGTAAGTTCCTGCTCCTTCTACACAATTCATATGGCGGTGGAATAAATAATATAGCAAGCATTCTAGTTTCTTCTACTATGGTCGATGGATGATTCTAGCTTTTTCAAAATTTGCTAACACTTTCCAATTTATTTTCTACGAGGCAGTGATCAGCCTTATAGAAAAATTCTGGAGATTTTCATTTTCAGAAGGTGGCGTTGCATCTTCACAGAATTTACAGATAGAGTTTTGTCACCTGCAGATGCAATGGCAGTGTTATGTGTTATAGTATGGTATGTTGATGAATCCTTAAATGATATATTTCAAAGATTAACACTTCGCATATTCACATATGCAGTCATTCAATTTATATATGCAGCCAACAAATGCAAAGACTAACGCATCACATATATAGTTATTCGTGATTGGAATCTCATTTTATGACGACACCAAATGAAACCCCCAAAAAATACATATTCTGTCATAGTTGTTTTCACACTTTGAATTGTGAAGTAACATAGTAGAAGCAACATCTTAGATAGGGAAATTTGAATAAATGGAGCCCTAGAATTGATTCAATAATGTTTTTCATGATCCCAAAACTCAACAGCAGTATGTGATTCTGTGAGGCAATATGCATCTTCTAAACACATACGAAAATCTGGAAAAAGTTGGATATTATTTGTGAAGCAATATCTCAAATTTCAACACGTACCAAATATAACAAATTTTGATTTTATCCAGAGACGAATTTGGTTACCTTTTTGTTAATTAAGAATCATGAATTTGTATTGATTTTGGAGAGTAATTAATTGATAGCTTAATGTTAGGATGATTTGAAAAATCGTAGTTACAGCATTGTTTGGAATCCAATTTTTGGAATGTAGTATTTTCTTTAAAATTATTTACCAATCCTAATAGTATTATAGTATTATCTGATTTATTTATTTTTAATTTCGTAACAAGGCAAACACGAAAATTTTCGTTGATTAATTGACTTCAGATTCATTGGTATATTGGATGTTAAATTTGTTTAATTTTCAATGTACTTGTTTAAGTAAATACCTAATAGGTATGAAGATAAAAATAAATAAATAAAAAATACTGAAGAATATTAAACAAGAAAATTTAATTGAAACATTTTCAATGGAACTACATTTTTCAGACATTTTGATATAGTGGCGGAAGCAATAGAATAAATAAATGAACACGATGTCGAAGTTCTGTTGATTCCAAATCAATATCGTAATACGACCACCTTTAGTTTATGTTGGTTTCTAAGAATAACAAAAATCTAGGTATAAAAAATTTTTCAAAAACAACCTCGTGCCATGATAGCTTACAACTCTTATTTAAAGAAATAACCATAATCGAGATAATTACAAAAATTTAGATACTAAAAATATATATATAAATATTAAAAGTAATGATAAGGACAAAAATTACAAAACCTTAATATTCATAATTAATCCGAAACAAAGGGAATAAACAATAAGAATTTATTTAATGAAAAAAATTCCAATTAAACAATAATTAAAACATCAATCTTCATCATTCTCCTTCGATTGACAAAGATTCAATCCTCAAATCTTGCAATGTTTTTTCACCCCAGGCCATGTGCCCCTAGACTGAACACCGCATATAGACTTCTCAATAAATCATGGCCCACTGAAATTCTTGGTGGTTCCTTAATCACCTTGACAATGAAAGACTCCAAATGAGTAGTAGATTGTAAAGCCAAAATTCCACCACTGTCATTAGGAATTATAAATGAATCGTTGAAAATATTTCAACAAGGGACTATGAAGAAGAAACAAAAAACCAAAATGACAAAAAGAAGAAGAATGATTCGAAAGCTCGAACACAATATCGTTGTCCTCAAACAATATTTGCCCCCTCTTGAATTGAATAAGATGCTTCAAGGGATCTTGGAAAATAGTTTGCAGAATTTTAACAAGCCTTATAGAAGATTAACTCCAAGCACAAGTAAAATCTCCCAAAACTTCAAGAACACAAGGGAGGAACTTTGAATATGGAATAGAATAGAGTTTTGATCTTTGTTTATGGAATGGTGTATATATCGTGAGTGTTTTTCTAGATTTAATGCCTTGAACATGTTCGCCTATTTACAGGCATATATTAATCCACACGAAACGATACCAGAATGTGGTGAAAAAGCCTCCAAAAATTTAAACCAAAATGGTCAAAAACAATTACCAATAGTAACATTCTTTGTTCTGTGCAATCACATAGAACAAACATATGCAGTCGCATAGAACAAAGTCATACATGGCATTTAGTCCTTGCATGGCACCATGCCACTGCATGGGTATTTGGTCTATGCGGTTGCATAAGCTAAACTCTCGGCCACCTATTTTTTTTTTTTTTTTCATTCCACACTTATATTTTATTGATGTTAAACAACATAACAACAATCCATCACTTGTTCAATATTCAATAAAATCTCGTATTCAAAGTATACAATACTTATGTATAAGGATTAGATATCATTCGATTTGAATCTAACCATAGTGTAATTCTAACAAAATAAAGTCGAAATTAAATGTAACATGAGACTTTGAACCATTTATTTCATGGGACAATACCGGTAAGAACACACACAGAAGTATTACGTGTTCTTCAATATTCAATAAAATCTCGTATTCAAAGTATACAATACTTATGTATAAGGATTAGATATCATTCGATTTGAATCTAACCATAGTGTAATTCTAACAAAATAAAGTCGGAATTAAATGTAACATGAGACTTTGAACCATTTATTTCATGGGACAATACCGGTAAGAACACACACAGAAGTATTACGTGTTCTCAAGTTCCATGTGGCAACATTATGGATTACTTTTTGAGCAATGACAGGTAGGGTTGTCGTCATTGGTGGACCTTTTACTTTAGGAGTTTCAACCTCATCCTACTCGAAGTAGATGCTATTAAATCTCTAGTTAGAGGTTTAGTTAAAGGATCTGCTAAGTTCTCAATTGACTTTACATAATTTATGAAAATTATTCCATTCTTGATTAATTTTCTTATGTAGTCATGTCTAAGACTCATTTATCTAGACTTTCCATTATATATCCCATTGTATGCTTTTGCTGACGTAACTTGACTATCACACATGATAGGTATTGAAGATGCATTCTTTGGTCCTAAAGGTATATCATAAAGGAGATCCTTAAGCCACTCAACTTCTTTCCCGATTTTCGATAGTGCTACAAATGTATATTTCATAGTTGAGTGTGTTATACATGTTTGTTTATTTTGTTTTCAAGAAACAACACCTCCTTCAAGAGTGAACACCCAACCTGAAGTGGATTTACTTTCACTTGTGCTAGATATCTAACTAGTATCGATAAATCCTTCCAATACAATCGGGAATTTAGTATATTATAAGCCTAATTTCTTGGGTTTCTTTGGATATCCAAAAACCCTTCCAATGGTCTTTCAATGATCATTGCTCGAACTACTAGTAAACCTACTAAGTTTACCGATTGCAAAGGCCATATCCGATCTTGTGCATTGAACTGCATACATAAGACTCCCAATACCACTCATATATTCAATTGAGCAATTGCCCTTCAATCATTCTTTGTAAACTTTGAACTTGGATCAATTTGGGTAATACATTTGTTTACATTCAAATATTTGAACATGTCTGTCACACTCTCAATATAAAGTGATTGACTTAGATGGTAACTCCACTAGTCTTAGGGGCTTTAATACCCAATATGGTACCTAAATGTCCAAGATCCTTCATTTTGAATGCGAAAGATAGAAACCTCTTCATTTATTTTATTCTATCCATGTGATTATTCATTATCAACATGTCATCGACATATAAGTATATAAATATCATATAATCATCACATCCTTTAGAATACAAACATCTATCTACACTATTGTGTTTAAAACCAAATGATGTTATTGTTAAGTCAAATTTCTCATGCCATTTTTTTAGGTGCCTGCTTCAAACCATATAATGTTTTTACCAACTTGCACACCTTGTGTTAATTTTCAAGTAGAGCAAACCTTCAGATTGTTCAATATAAACCTCCTCGTTGAGATCCTCATTCAAGAATGCCATATTGACATCTATTTGATGAATATGCAAGTCATTTATGGAAGCTAATGCAAATATTATCCTGATTGATGTTATTCTAACTACCGGTGCATAAGTACCAAAATAGTCAATTCAATCCTTTTGTCGATACCCTTTGACTACTAATCTAGTCTTAAAGGTATTAGGAGAACATCAGTGTTATACATTCTCCAAAATACCTATTTACAACCAATAGGTTTGGATCCGGGTGACAAATCGACAAGTTCTCATGTATTGTTTGACATTATTGAAGCAATTTCATCATTAATTGCATCTTTCCAAAAGTGTTGTCACTTGAACCCATAACTTCTTTATAAGTTTTAGGATCGATTTCCACATATGGAATAAAAGAAATTGTTCTTATAACATTCACCTCATTTCCCTTTGCTAAGTAAAAGGAAATAAGTTAAGAGTCAATGTCGTCTGGTCCCAAAGACTTCTTAAGCCAAGTTCTTTTGTTTCTTCATGGCTCAATAGACTCATCAACATCTTTAGAAGATGTCTCATCTCGTGTTCCACTTAAGCTAGGGATATCTTTATGATTTTCCTTCAATTCATTATCTGAAGATAGCGAATTCTCAAAAAACTCTACAGCATTGGATTCAATAATCACATTGGTCTTCAAATTCAACAATCTGTATGATTTTATATCACTAGCATATCCAATAAAGGCACATTTAATGCCTCTTGGACACAATATAATCCTATTAGAGTTCGTGTTCTTACAATAAACATGATATCCCCACACTTTGAAGTATTCAATGTTCAGTTTTTTTCCTTTCAACAATTCGTATGAAATTTAGTATTCTACATGTACTCAATAAAGGTTCACCCCACAAATTAAATGGTAACTTAACATAAGTTAACATGGTATTTATCATTTCTACTAAAATTTTATTTTTTTATTTCGGCCAAACCATTTTGTTCGAGTGTCCTAGGTGCAGAACATTGGTGAATAATACATGTTCACAAAACAAGTTAAAATCTCTAGAGAAGTAATTGCCACCTCTATTACTTCTTAGAGTCTTTATTTTCTTGTCTAAGTGATTTTCAACTTCATTCTTATATATTTTAAACATATCAAAAGCCTCATGTTTATGCCTCATCAAATCAAAATATGTATACCTAGAGAAATCATCAATGAAGGTAATAAAATACATATTTTCACCTCTAGTTAATATGCCATTTAATTCACAAATATCTATATGAATTAATTCCAAGATGCTAGAGGTTCGTTTAACACTTTGATATGTCTTTTTAATAATCTTAGATTCTACATATATTTTATACTTAATGGCATCATTTTATCATATAAAATCAAGTCACATTTCATCATTCTTTTCATAGTGCCTTTCCCTTTAGGGATGGTAAAAGTTTACCGGACTCATAAATGTCCGATTTTTTAAAGAGATTTCTCCTAACCGAATTCTTATTCATATCTGGAACATGTAAACATTAGTTAACGTAACGATTTTGTCTGAAGCGAAGATGATAACCACATTTCCTTTTCCAATCACCTTAGATTGAACTTCATTACATATTTGGATCTCTTGGTCTTCATTCACCTCATGATATGTCTTGAATAAAGACTTGTCATACGATATATGCACCGTTGCACAAGTATACCACTATCTGGGAACCTTTCATTTGATTGCATTTATCTCGCTTATGATGGTCACAATCTTGTCTTCTTAGATGGAGTTCACCTTACCCTCGGGGTTGTTTTATTTTCGGTGTCTACAATCCTTTACATAGTGTCTAGATTTTTCACACACAAAACATCCTCCTTTGGTCTTCTTCTTAGACTTATTGGAATTCCTAGAAGGTTCTCTCTTGTTGAATTTTTTTGGCGGTAGAATGTTCATTCTTATCTTGCATTTTTTATTCTTCTTGAATGCGAAGATGTTTCTGAAATTGTTTCAAACAATAATCTTCGATACTATGCATTATCTTCTTTTGATATCTTTTCCAAGTCTTAGGAAGCTTTGCAATAATTATCCCCACTTGAAAAATCTCCGAAATTTCAATCTTTACCGCTTTCAACTTGTTGACAATCACTTGCATTTCATGTATTTGGAGAAGTAGGAGAATATTCCCAAGAAATTTAAAATCAAAGTATTTAGAAATTAAAAATTTCTTGGTACCTTCTTCTTCCGCTTTGTACTTACTCTCCAAGACTTTTCATATTTATTTTGCTGAAGATGTGTTTGTGTATAAGTCATACATTAAGTATATGATCGTGACATATTAATTCATCTTCTTGGCGCTTTTGTCTTTCGCCTTTAATGGCATCCGTTTCTCTATTTGTTGGTTCCGGTAATGACGCGACATTTGGATCAAGTATGCAAAAAAATTTCAACACTGTAAGAAAAAAACTTCAACTTATCTTGCCATCTTGTAAGTTGGTACCATCAAAACAATCTAGGTGCACGAGATCTTGGTTCATCAATTTGATTGTCACCACAGTTGTTTTACTCTCCATCGCAGTAATATCGTTTGAAATTGTTGGAAATTTTCAACAAGGGACTATAAAGAAGAAATAAAAAACCAGAATGACAAAAAGAAGAAGAAGGATTCGAAGGCTCGAACGTGATATCATTGTTCTCAAACGACATTTCGCCCTCTCAGATTGAATGAGATGCTTCAAGAGATCTTGGAAAATGATTTGCAACATTTTAACAAGCCTTCTAAAAGATTAACACCAAGCACAAGTGAAATCTCACGAAACTTCAAAAACATAAGGAAGGAACTTTAAATATCGAATAGAATAGAGTCTTGATCTTTGTTTGTGGAATGATGTATAGATCATGAGTGTTTTTTATATTTAATGCCTCGAACATGCTCACCTATTTATAGGCATAACTCAGTCCACACGAAATGGTGAAAAGCCTCCAAAATTTTAAACCAAAACGGTAAAAAAAGGGTTATTAACGGCAACATTCTTTGTTTTATGCATTCACATAAAACAAAGTCATGCAGGGTGTTTAGTCCCTACATGACACCATGCGACCGCATGGACATTTGGCCGATGTGTTCGCATAGGCCAAACTCTAGGCCACCAATTCCTTTTTTCATTCCACACTTATATTTTATTGATGTTGAACAACATTAAAACATGAATTCGGTAAGTTTTCCCACAATAGATCCTCTACACGATTTGCAAAAAATATTTTCATAATCGTAGTTAGAAATTCTTCCAAATTAATTTGTATATAATGCTACACAAAACTATCCTGATTATGGAAATATATCCCTCAATTGCGCAAAGCCACAAACCTTAGGACTCTCATCTTACATATTACAATCCTCTAATTATCCAAACATGCTTCAAAAATAGGGAGCCGATTGTTACTCTCATTTGCATTATTGAAACTCAGACGTTCTTCAATCTCAATTGTTGAAAGACCATTATTAATTATCTACGTTCAAACTGAATAGAACGAAAATGACTTTATCATTAAATACTACTTCTGGTATGGATTCCCTCGTCTCTATTAGAAATGGCATTGGCTATGATACTAACTGATATAATATGACGGAAGCGATTGAAAAGATGATCGAACACACTATCAAGTTCCATTGATTCTAAAAGAAAACTGGAACATGATCACCTCCCAAATTCTATTGATTTCTAAGAATATCAAAAATATAGGAATCGAAAATTCTTTGATTCACATAGGAATATGGATAAAATAGTCTTGCTGATTTTAAATATCAAATTTCGAGGATTTTAGAATTTGGAGAAGATCTCAATAATAAATTTTTTATTTCAATTATGAAACAACCTCGTGCCATGATAGCTTACAACCCTTATTTAAAGAACTAATTAGAATATAGATAAGTATAAAACTCTAGATAATGACAAAAATCTGGATAATTATTAAAATTAAAAGAAAATGACAAAAATTAAAAGTTTTAATATTCAGAATTAATGCGAAATAAACAAAATTAAACTTCGATTTTATTTAATGAAGAAATACTAACTCAAAAATAACTAAAACTCATTCTTTGTTTATGTTACATTAGCATAAGCACTCAACACTTGCAGAAAAATGTATCAAGTACATGCTCAGTGCTTAAACAAATTTTAACGATACAGAGACAAGATTAATTTTTCTCTCTTTTGCAATAAATTTTTTGATATTAAGAAAACTTTTACTATGACTTCTAATTAACAATGCTCAAGTTGAATGGATATGTTTATACGTCGCAAGCAATTCCATATTCCGTTTTGTACAAATAATTCTTTTTAACAAAGGCATATGTTTGCAAATATTACAAATCGTGATTCCAAAACACCCTTGTCATGTTATAATGAATCCATTGAAGACATGCCTATTCCACATATATATGTTATTTCTATGTAATTCCAAAATTCTTCAAAGCTCTATATAAATGAATAAACTTCAAGAAATGTGTTAAAGATATGCATGAATTTTCGCGTTCTTGTGTTATTGTAATATTTTCTCGATTCTTATGATACTATTTCATTAATAATATGATTGTAATCGGTAAGTTCTTTCCTTTTGTAGTTGTATGTAAACCTATTTATACGATCTTGTCCTTTGTAGTCATTCTCTTTCTTAGAGAGAGGAGTTATATTATTAATATATTATTCATTCAATATTCTGTCTTAATCACATTGAAATGATATTAGAGCCTTCAATTATCAACCTTTTCTAATTGTCGTCCATCTACTCATATATATAGTATAATTATTATCATATTATCATAACATTAAATACTAATGATTTACATGTTTTTCTATCGAATTCAATGGTATCGAAACTTGAAAAGTGGCATTGCGTAGTGACAACATAACAAACTTTAAATCTCTCTCTCTCTCTCTCTCTTGAAAAAGAATGAGTTTGCAGAGATGTAGAGCTGTTTTGATACCATGTTGTAATGACTCATCCATCTTTCTGGAATTGTGCACGCACTTTGTTCTTTTTGTTTGCCTCGTGAATTGCTCCAACTTCTACACTAAGTTCAAGAAATCTTTTTCTTGAACTTAGTTGCAAGTAAGATATCATTTTTTCCTCTCTAATCATACTATTATGATCTTTCATAGAAAAGAAAAATAACATTTCTTTTGTTTTTATTTTACATCAATTGGTTATGTGACCTTAGTCGCATGGTTTTGTCCTTTTTCTTTGCATTTGACTTCTTCACATTCTTATTATTTTTTTCTTCACATAAACAAGTTTATGACCTTATTATTAAGGCTTTTTTAATATATTCATTCATGATCTTCTTTTCAAGGTTTTGTTTTACCAATCAATTCCTAAAGTTCTCAAAATTTTCTTATAGATGTTACAATTAAGACCATATTTAAAATATTCTTCATATTTTTACAATATCCCAGTGTTGGAAATAAACCTGGAGAATTCTTCCCTCAGAAATTTTATGGTATGTTTAGATCGTTGACATTGAGCAATTCATCATATCAGCAAGAAAGTTTTCAATCATCGTACAGGCAGCTCTTGTTTCTTGGTCTGTTGGGGCACATCCCGCGATTTACCTCCCTCACAAAGTTTTAGGGGTGGGGCGGTGGAGGCCCTCAAGGTTGGTGCTCAATTTCCGGATGTAAATCAAATAGTTAGAAATAGTAGTATACCTTTGATTTGCTCCATCAGAAGTAGCCTCTCTTCTTTCAAAGGGCTTTCAAGTTGATGACGAGTGACAAGTTCAACTTTCCCTCACATCCCAACGACTACATATGTGATGAGTATCACGTTCTTGTTATTGGTTAGTGAGTAGTTAAATTAAATAAATTATATATAACACAACATTAGGGTCATCTCCTTCTCTATGGGTTTTTAGCCTAGCTCAAGGCACATGGATTACAGATACCTACCCTTCCAATGTAGGCTAAAAAATGAGAGGAACAAGGAAATCATGTTGAAACTGAGGAGAAAATATTACTTCGGTGCTTCTCCTTGAGGGCAATAAGGCACTCTTTTAGGTACGAACTAACATTATGAGTATTTTCTTGGAAGTTTTTCTTCCTCAGTCCTGTAGCAAAATATACAGGGTTTCCTCCAAAGTGTCAGGCACATCATTGTGCACCTTAAATGACCAAAAATGGCCTGAGGTTCGAACAAATCCCCTATACCTCATTAGAAATACAAAGGCCTCCTACCTTTTAAATGCTACCATATAGACTTTACATATCTATCCAAGAACATGGCCAATTCATTTTCTTCATCCCAAAATTCGCGAAAAATACAAACTATAAAGCCAAATCGATAGAAAATCCTTGACATCAACAAACCAAGCCTTGTGCATGAGAAATTTAGGATCAACTACTTGAATCATTTTCCCCCATTTCGTTCATAGTTTCAATTATCAGAAAAGTGCACAACACTTACCTTGAGATTTCCAGGTAGCTTGGAGGCCAGTGCCGTGGTAAATTCAGCAATTCCCTGGTTGATATAAGTTGTTGATTTGGTTAGTCATGGCCTTGACCACTTTCGGGTAGCAATAGTCTCAAGATTCAGTAGCAATGAACCCAAACTTATCAAGATATCTACGGCCATTCTTGTCAACTAAGTACTGAATCTTGACATTAATACCCCAATTATTTTTTTCATATCTTAAAGGAGCAACATATTATAACTGTTCAAATTATTTTATTAGTCCCAAGTTTACTTGAAATGTGAATTGTCCCTATGTCTAATTGTTGACTTGTTATTTATATTTTAATAATGTAAGAGGGGAATTTTGTATGTATGTATGTATACATAGATAGATAGATAGATGTATAGTTATAAGCATATATATTTGTTAATATTTTCACACGTTTTTCTTTGAGTTCCTCTCTTATCCTCTCAAATTAACTACCTCTAAAAAACTTCTACATATCCACTTGTCATTCCATTTCCCCACTTACCCAACTAATAAGAAAGATTCCCTCAATTTCCTTATCTATCTCACATCACTTCATGGTTTCTTTCATTTTAACATTTCATAACTTGTCTTCCCATATTTTATTACTCATTTTCTTTCCATTTTTTGGTGTATCCAAACAAGAAGAAATTGTCAAATAGCATTTATAGTACATATTTTATCTCAGCATTTTTCCTTCGGTTGAAACGTATTTGAAGCTTATAAGGTATGACAACAACATACAAGTAATTTTGTCCCATTTAATTTTTGTTATTTCATATTGATAAATATTTTGTTAATGATATGTACAATATGATATATATGGCCATACGATACAAATGATAAGATATGAGCTCTTACCGATTATGAAGATATGATATGACGGTACGATTTATTTTGATAAATGAATGACAAATATTATTCGGGTTTGTACTAATATTCATATCCTATTGAGTATTTCCACACTCACCCTCTTTCCCCTACCTTACAAGTTAGGATGGGCGTGACAGAGTGCGATGGTTTGCCACGCATTTTCTATAATATGATTTATATCACAAGTGTATATTGTCAAGTTTTGTAATATAATATGGGGTTAAAAGTATTGAACCCACATGGATTGTAATTTAATTTCTACTATGTACTATAATTGTGTAGCTTTATTTTAGCTAGACGAATGAAAATTAAAACCAACGATTTTAATAAAATGAACTTGATGAATGTGGTGCAAATTCAATGGATGCTAATTAGTTATATGAATTTAATCAAGATGGAAAGGTTTAGGGAATGATTTCACCTAACTATCAATTATAATTCAATTAAGTCCACTTATTATAATCAATTTTTCATGTTTAAAAGTAAGATAAGTGTGTTTTTACACACTTATTTGGTTCACAAACATGACTTAAACATGGATAAAATGGTTGAATTGTGACTTAATCCAGTTAAATTCATGCACTATAGGTAATTCAATGGAAATTGTGGAATTCAGGAGAAAAGAACCGAAGAAGGACCAAAACGCAACAATTTTTGTTATGTGATTGTAGATGATTTGTTCTTTGCATTCGAAAGAAGGGGAATAAATTCGATAGAATATAAATTGACATAGGGTCCGATAGGGGATGGAAACTTACCTCTATGCTTTATGCAATTCATGAAGATGTTCATAAAAAGTCATGCATTCTTGTACATTGCATCATCCATAGAAATATAGGCTGGTGGTGTATAAGAGTAGATTCAATATATATCGAGAGAGTGTATTGGATAATTTAGGAACATTGAACTGGCATTTTGTTCCAACGATTCGTTGAAATTGTGAAATTAGGGTTTTTAATAGTCAATTAGGGATTGGAGTTCTTAATGATTTCAATTCGATTCATTTCAATACATTAGTTCTAAAATTGCATATTTACATTTCAGTTGCGTGTTTATTTCATTTGATTAGTGAAATTTCGAAATTAGGGTTTTCTTTGCAATTAGGGTTTCAAATTGGGGATTTCTTCCAAAATTAGGGCTTTTCACATTTAAACCAAATTTTCATTTAATTAGATTCGGTTAAGGTCACATTAGTCTAATTAGAGCTAATTCAATCCTCGTGGGAACGATACTTGGACTCATAGTCCATTTTACTACTTGTTAACGAACCGTACACTTGCGGTGGGTTTTAAAATCGAAAAGAAATATTTCGTGAACAAGTTTTTGGCGCCGTTGTCGATGATTAAATTTTAGATTTAATTCTATCTTTTGTGACACTAATTCGGACTTATTCATTTCATTACTTGTTAATTTTATTAGATTTATTTAATTATTGTTTATATTAAATTTTTGTGTTAATTTTGCCATATCAGGGCTTGCATGCAAGGAGCACCTGATCAAGACTTGGTCCCTATAGATCCAGAGATTGAACACACATTCTGTCACAGGCAAAGGGAAGCAAGAGTGGTACAACAAATGGCTAACGAGCAAAATCGACCGGGAATTCCACTCAACGAAGGTTTGGCAGTGGAAGAGGATGGAAATACGGTACTTGGGGATTTCATGGCACCATTGGTGGTGCAAAGTCAATCTAGTATTGTATATCCTCCATTTGGGCAACCGAACTTCCAACTGAAGACAAACGTGATTCAACTGTTTCAGAATGGGCATCAATACCATGGGATGGCTAGTGAGAATCCGCATACACACATATCTCGATTTCTTGATATGTGTCAACACTTCAGATACCAAGGTATCTCTGATGATGCTATAAGACTGCGCTTGTTCCCGCACACCTTAAGGGATAAAGCACTCGAATGGCTGGATTCACTCCCTGTCGGAAGCATCACCACTTGGAACGAGCTAGCTCATAAATTCTGCACCAAGTTCTTCTCGCCAGCTAAAGTAGCTAAAATGCGGCATGACATCTCAATATTGAACCAGATCGAGTCAGAGTCATTTGAAGAGGCATGGAACCGTTTCAAGAACATGTTAAAGAAGTGCCTGCAACACGGCTTTGACAAGAAGACCCAGATCAGATTTTTCTACACTGGATTACTCCCAGCATTTAAGAGTATGGTGGATGCATCATCTGACGGGTCTATCTCTACAAGAACAATTGACGAAGCCTGGGAGTTGTTTGAAAGGATGGCTACAACTTCAGCTATGTGGTCTACAGATCGAGTAGTTCAGAAGAGAGCACCTGGGGTGTATGAAGTAGATACTTACTCAGCAGTGTCGACGAAAATAGATTCCTTATTCCATAAGGTTGAAAGCATTTCACAAACCGCCATTGCTAAGCAAGTTATGAAGCAGAGTTGTGAAGAATGTGGAGCAGATCACAGTACTGCTACTTGTCCAATTCTGGCACAAGGAGTAGAACATGCAGAATTCGCACAATGGGGTCAGCGCCAGCAGAATAACCTACATTCAGAAACCTTCAATCAAGGCTGGAGAAAACACCCAAATTTCTCTTGGAGCAACCAGAATCAAAATAGACTACAAGGGCAATATCAGCAGCAAGACAAAAAGCCAAATTTGGAGGATATGTTCGAGAAATTTATTGCACACACCAATCAGTACATGGAAGCCAATAACCAATTTATGCGAAGGATGGAAACAACACTTCAAGATCAAAGTGCAGCGATCAAGAACTTGGAGACACAAGTGGGACAGATAGCAATTTCCATGACGGGTAGAGCACCGGGAAACCTACCCAGCAATACTGAAATTAACCCTAAGGAACATGCAAAGGCTATAACAACCAGAAGTGGAGTACAACTGCCGGAACCACATGTAACAAGCTCGGGAGCCAACAAGGAATCAACGCCAACCTTGGAGGAAGAAATTGTGGAGCAAACTGACAATGCAACAGGAGATGAGGTTAAGAGGAATTCCAAGACATCACAGGGTAAAAATACTAATCCTGTTAACCCTCATGAACCTCCTATTCCGTTTCCACAAAGGTTGAGAAAGCACAAAATGGATCAGCAATATAGTAAGTTCCTTGAAGTTTTCAAGAAACTGCATATCAACATCCCATTTGCTGAAGCACTTGTCCAGATGCCGAGCTATGCAAAATTCTTGAAGGATATCCTCTCCAACAAGCGAAAAATAGAAGAACACGAAACAGTAATGTTGATTGAGGAATGCAGCGCCAGAATCCAGAGAAAGCTACCCCCAAAACTAAAAGATCCAAGGAGTTTTACTGTACCCTGCACTATTGGAGACTGTTATTTTGATAAAGCTTTGTGTGATTTGGGTGCAAGTATTAATCTAATGCCTCTTTCTGTTTTCAGGAAACTCGGCCTGGGAGAAGCAAAAGCCACAACAGTGACATTGCAGTTAGCAGATCGATCCCTTACACATCCAAGAGGAATCATTGAAGACGTGCTGGTAAAAGTGGAGAAGTTCATATTTCCAACTGATTTTCTTATCTTGGACATGGAAGAAGATAAAGATGT